GATCACAAAGCTACTCCCCAAGCGGATGTGATCATAAAAACAAACAGCGACGAATGAATGAACGAAGATCTGATGACAGAGTGGAACACAGATGTCTGGAGCAAACGAGAAGAAGACAATACTCTAAATGGAGCAAGCACAATGGAGCACTTTGGCAGCAGTTTCATTCCATCATGTGAAGAAAATAATGGCATAGGAGTTAGATTGAGATGATTTCGCATAGAATTGTTCTCTGACAGAGTGAAAGTTGAGCCGCGATCATATTCTGCAACAGTGCAGAATAATGGAGCAGAAGGACGCTGGCAAAGGAAGCCTATAGCATTCCTTCTTATATTAGGTTGGCGGGAAAGTTCTGTCACTTTTTTCAAATTGGGCTTTCTTTTTATAGAGAGGCGTGTAAGATCAAAATTGTACAGCAATGTTACTGCGGGGTCCTTGCCTGTTTTTGAGGCACCGATGGATGCCATGCCTTCACGGGGAGGAGGGAAAAACTCACCCATGCGCGTATGCGGCGCGGTTTCTTCACGGCGCCGCGGCGGCAGGGCGGAGCGAAAGGCGATGGCCCGCGTCTCCGGCGCTGTGCTCCAATCCAGCAGCCTCTTTTATGTGGAAGCAGGGCACAGCATTGGTTGGGGAATCCCCATAGGGGGGTCGTATTTGGCCGCCAGGAGAGGGGGGGGGTCGTAATGAGTGCGGTAGCCAGTATCGAGCAGCGCAAAGGTGTCAGTGTGCTGAATCCTGTGTAGCGGAACTTGCTTCGTAGAGAACTCGGATATGTAAAAAATGAGTACAAAACTTTCATCCATCAAACTAATCCGAAATAATTGGAATTATTAATAAGTCGACAACATCTCGTAAGTGATTAAACACTACAACTCATACTCTGGTTTGCTGCGGATGATGGGGCGTGTCCGCGATCACGCTTGGCGCTGAGCCAACCTGTTTTTTTTCTGACAAACGACAGGACTACCATATCGTTCGTACCAGACGTTTTCCAGCACTTGGTCTCCTTTATCGGAATCAGCAACTATCGGAGCACAGATCTGGCGGCGTCGACACGGACACGCTACATCATCCGCAAGGGAAAACACTGTAGACAAGTGCACAGGTTCGCCATGGACCTCCCTGAATCCTACAGACACATTTGCGCGCGTGACACACATTATGCACAAGTTGCACCATCCCATCACTTCTGCGCGGGCCTCTCAGTGCGCGGCGCATACAAAGTCAGCGTGATCGGCGCTAAACGAACCATATCCTGCTCCTGCTCCACCACAGGATACGTTCTACATGCGTTCCTGGCTATTCGAACACGCTCACTTGAAACGGTGCACAGGAAACGGGTTTTCGCGCGGCTGGGAGTGCTCCCTAAGAAATCCCCATCGCGAGATCTCATGAATCCCGAGAGCTTCAGGAACAGTTCAATAGGTTTTTAGAAAGAGAAAATCTTGAGAAGCTCGGATCCGTTCTCAGATTTGTGAAATGTTGAGTTACAAAAAAATATATTGATTCAAACCTGTTCAACTTGAACTTCAACCCTTCACTCCCCAACGAATCCCTATGGCAGATTTCTCTGTGATTTTCGCGACCTTCATAAACATTTTAGTACTTTCAGGAAGACCAAACCTTCTAATTTACCAATACGCTCTCCTCTTCCCCACAGGTCCGCTTTTGAGGAAGTTATGGTCCTTCAAAGACACCCTACTTTGCTGAAAATTCTCGCTCCATGGCTAATAGCCGTTTGCTCCAGTCACGGCTGCAATTACGTACGCATCTCTGCTACCGTACTCCACATCTCGGGGTTAATGCATTTTAGGCGTATTTCTTTTTTGTTTTCTTTTTCTGTTATGCCGCTTTTGTTTTTTCGTTTTAGTCATAGTCTCATTTAACTCGCATTTATGCTGTGTTTATGCTACTCATCGTGTTTTTGATCACAAACGCTTGTACATAAGTAAATCAAGTCAATTTAGGTAGGACTGTTTATATCTATTTTTATATCTAATTGTTTATATCTAATTTCAGGAAGGAATTATGTGACCGAACCAAACACTAAAAAGGGGGGGGTCGTACCGAACCCCCAAAAAAGGGGGGGTCGTACAGGCTCTGACCAAAATCCCCATCGAATGCTGTGCCCTGGTGAAGGAAAGAGCAGGCAAAAGTAGAGAGAGAAGGAATTGAGAGATAGTGGTGGCATGATGCTGAGTTAGTGGGTTAGTGGGGAGATCACAGAAAGTCTATCACGAATTACTTCAGTGAATGGAAGAACTGGCGGCATAGTTTCCTACGATTGTGAAAACGACACAAGCAGCTTCCACACGAAAGTTTGAGCTGAGGTTTGGCAAATTGCCAACAGTCGGTTGTGACCTTATAACGCTATAACATCACGTCCCATCGAAAAGAAAATCATTCTGCAGTTCGCTGTTGACTGAAATAATACGATCTGATTTTCGACTTTTCTGTATTCTCTGCTCACCATTACCACTAACTCACCTATGAACGGTTACTATTTGTTCAGTCCTCTTTTCTATCCTCCTCCTTCCACACAATGGGACATAAAAGGGGGCCTTTCTTGCATGAAGCACAGAGGCGGAGGCGCAAGCGATCACCCTTCGCCCGCCCGTCGCCGCGGTGCCGTGAAGAAACCGCGCCGCATACGCGCACGGGTGAGTTTGTACACGGAGCTTCGCCTTCACAATGCAGGAGGCGCGATACAAAGTTGGACATCATCTCAATCTTGGCTTGAACTCAGACTTTTCGAGGTTTTCTCGTAATTTCTCGTCCAGTAATTAATGATTGATTCTTGATCGACGGAAGGCAACTCGGCTGTTTAGAGGAGCAATGTCTGTGGCTACACCACTGCGAGGGGAGAGCCATCTAGTTCTATTGCATGAGGAACGGCTAGAACTTGAAGTGCGCTGCACTATCAGAAGCATTCGGAGGGGTCGGTGGCGACGAGCGGATACATTCTTGTCCATACTGCCGAGAAGAAGAACAGCGAAAAAGCGCGTACTAATAGAAAGACCACTCTTTGATGTATAAGTGCTCACATTACCGTTCACCCCTCTTCAGGTAATGGACAAGTATTTTGAGTTCAAAAAAGTGACAGAACTTTCCGCCAACCTAATTACTATAAATACAGGTCTAGAAAATAGGTATAATTGAAAGACTAGGCGAAGTTCGGAGAAACGGTCCAGTATCTTGATCGTTTCCTGTTTCTTTGGTGCATTCTCTCCTGTTCTCAGAGTGTACTACATATTCACTTCTTCTCCGAATCGATAGTTATACCTTTGGTGGCACTCAGTCTCGTATTTCTCAGTTCCGCTATGTAAGAACGTGACCGGAGATTTATAAGTAAGCGCAGGCTATTGTGATAGGCGCGTGCTTATCTCTTCGGTCGCGTAATTATAATTATCTGCTTGCGGAAAACTTATTTTTGTCACTTGGAAAGTGGTAAAAATTATACCACTGCCGTACTGATTTCGCCGTCGGTACTGAGATCAGGCCTTGGTGGTGCAGGCCCTCCCTTCTTGAGCATATACAGCAACTCTGAAAAGAAGAAATGAATTATGTGAAATGTCCCGTGTGAACAAAGGAAAGGCTTGAACCTCTTTTCCTCACCGTCGGTTCGTTCTTCCCGCTCGTTCCACGCTGGCCTTCGCGTCACAACCTCCGAAGCAACGATAGAAAACGAGTATATATCGCCTTCTTTGGATGCTTTAGCAGACGTCTCAGGAGATCGAAGATGTTCCGGGGCCATATATAGTTGACCTCAACAGTAAAACGTTTATAGGGCAAACACGCGTAGGACATTGATACTTTTTCGTCGTGAGGTATCGGTCAATGTTGAGAGAGAGGCAAGTCGAGTCCAGGTGTCTGTAGATACAAATGAGAACACCCAATCGCTCCTCTGCTTTCTTGCCCACAAAAGGAAGGTTTGCTTGAAACTCCAGTGCTGATCCCTCCCTGTTGGGTCAGCGTGGGGAACAAGAATAATTCGAATGAGAATATAATCACACTTAGCTTCTTCTATGAACAATATTTTGGGGTGAGTGAGAAAAATGAAGTATGCTAATGCCCGTCATCGCTTTGCCGTTGCAGTAGCGCTTCAGTGCTACGGACGGGAACGCAGTCATGAATGGGCTTACGCACAGGTCAGCTCAGCTCCCGGTGTTTTTGGAGAGTGTAGGAAAACAAAAAAAGTACGAGTCTAGGTATGGTTTCCATACTCTCCACCGGAACACATAGCAGCTTATCTATGGAAGAACTCTCCACACATTTTCCATTGCGCGATTGAAGGGAAGCGCGCGCTTACCGATGATTTATCAGAAGATGCAGCGCAAAGAAACCGGCCTGAAATAGAGAGGCAATTATTGAAATAGTTTCTTAGGACCAAACAACACTTGAGCTAATCAACATTGACAGATACCTCTGCATTGGTGGGGGGGGGACGCGGGGAAGGAGATAGGTGGATGGGAAAATGGAGTCGAAATAACCAAAGCTGAATAGAGCTGTTCTTCCCATCAAGCTCATCGTATAGCCGTTGAAAGAGTTCCAGCTAGAACTATCAATTGAACACGTGTACGAATATTGAGCCACCTTTGCTGCTCTTGTGATATTACAATCAAAATGGGATGAGCTTTATTATGGACGGCTGCGATGATTTATACTCGAAATCCCCGAGATCGGGTAGGCGTGGCCGCATGTTTCATCTTAATCTGAAAAGTGTCTATGCTTCTGATGAGATATTGCCATCTCGACACAATTGTTGTCGTGTCTCTGTCCAACACAACAAACAAGATGACAGCTGCTACCAGCGGAACAATCACGAGTATAAGTCAGTTCCGTGCCATGTTTCAAAATTACCACGCCTACTCTGGCTACCGAAAAAGGAGTTGCACATGACTTCAGACCTTCACGAGTAGTGGTTCTGTACATACAGGGCCAATAAAAAAAGACCTTTGAATTGAGTAAATTTAGCAAAATATTTCGCCAGCGCAGAGGAGACCGGGATACGAGGTTACTACGGCGGTAAAAGATGCCCAATAAGTATGTTTCTCTATAAGTCATGAGCTGCGCTCCTCCCCAAATACCTGCTCTACAGGGTTGGCCATAAATATAGCGACAAGGTTTTCACCTTATATCTCAGAAAGCAAAAGTGCAAACGAGTCATGAACATAACATTTATTAAGTAACAACTGGTACATTAACAATCATAAGTTACTTCTCGATTCGGCCACCTTTGGCACGGACGACAGCGCGGAGTCGCTTGGGAAAGGCGTCGATGACCGGACGCAGGAGTGCGTCGTCGATTTCGTCCCATTCTCGGATGAGCGCTGCCTTCAGAGAATCCAAATTGGGGTGGGGAGTGGCGCAGGCCTTGCTCTCAAGGTAGGACCACAAGTTATAGTCCAGTGGGTTCAAATCCGGTGACGATGCCGGCCATTCTTCTGCCGAGATGAAGTCGGGGAGTTCGCTCTTGCACCACGCTTGGACGACCTTGGCCTTGTGGGCGGGCGCCGAATCTTGCTGGAATGTCCACGGGCGGCCGTTGAAGTGGGAATTCGCCCACGGGAGTAGAGCATCTTCCAGAATCGTCTTCAGGTAGTAATCTTTGTCGATTTTGACGCCGGGGTCGACGAATATCAACGGCGTCTTCCCCGAGGCACACACCCCTGCCCAAACCATGACTTGGGCAGGGTGTGCGGCCCGGTGAACGACTCTTCCCTTCTTGTCGGCTTCCTCGGCATTCCTTGCGATCACTCTGACGTTCTGAGCGTTGAACTGCTGCTCGACGGTGAAGAGCTTCTCATCCGAAAAGACGATCGAATGGTGGCCCTTGTTGCGCGTCCGAAGCAAAAGCTGTCGGCACTTCTTGACTCGCGCCTGCTGATTCGAGGCGCTGAGGATAGCAGCCTTCCGAGTACGGTAGGGGTACATCTTAAGGTCTTCGTGGACGACCCTTTCCATTGACTTCCGCGAGATTCCCATGTCGCGAGCCATCGTCGAGATGCTCCGAGTCGCGTTTCTTGCTATCCGCTTTCTGACGGCCTCGACGACCTTCGGCGTGCGAGCAGTACGAGGTCTTCCACTTCTTCGGCGGTCTTGGAGTCCACCAAGGTCTCGATAACGTTGGAGTGTGCGATACACGACGCTGCGGTGGATGCCGAGGTGCTTAGCGATCGTGGCGGGTGGGCGGCCGGCTTTGTGCAGACGAACGATAGCGGAACGATCAGGAGAAGGCTTCACCATTTCACTATGAATGGACCAAATTTAACCAAATTTTAACAGGAGTTAGAAAAAATGAT